AGAGGCTGAGCTAGGTGGTAGAGGCTGAGCTAGGTGGTAGAGGCTGAGCTAGGTGGTAGAGGCTGAGCTAGGTGGTAGAGGCTGAGCTAGGTGGTAGAGGCTGAGCTAGGTGGTAGAGGCTGAGCTAGGTGGTAGAGGCTGAGCTAGGTGGTAGAGGCTGAGCTAGAGGCTGAGCTAGGTGGTAGAGGCTGAGCTAGGTGGTAGAGGCTGAGCTAGGTGGTAGAGGCTGAGCTAGGTGGTAGAGGCTGAGCTAGAGGCTGAGCTAGAGGCTGAGCTAGGTGGTAGAGGCTGAGCTAGGTGGTAGAGGCTGAGCTAGGTGGTAGAGGCTGAGCTAGGTGGTAGAGGCTGAGCTAGGTGGTAGAGGCTGAGCTAGAGGCTGAGCTAGAGGCTGAGCTAGGTGGTAGAGGCTGAGCTAGGTGGTAGAGGCTGAGCTAGAGGCTGAGCTAGGTGGTAGAGGCTGAGCTAGAGGCTGAGCTAGGTGGTAGAGGCTGAGCTAGGTGGTAGAGGCTGAGCTAGGTGGTAGAGGCTGAGCTAGAGGCTGAGCTAGGTGGTAGAGGCTGAGCTAGGTGGTAGAGGCTGAGCTAGGTGGTAGAGGCTGAGCTAGGTGGTAGAGGCTGAGCTAGGTGGTAGAGGCTGAGCTAGAGGCTGAGCTAGGTGGTAGAGGCTGAGCTAGGTGGTAGAGGCTGAGCTAGGTGGTAGAGGCTGAGCCAGGTGGTAGAGGCTGAGCTAGGTGGTAGAGGCTGAGCTAGGTGGTAGAGGCTGAGCTAGGTGGTAGAGGCTGAGCTAGAGGCTGAGCTAGGTGGTAGAGGCTGAGCTAGGTGGTAGAGGCTGAGCTAGGTGGTAGAGGCTGAGCTAGAGGCTGAGCTAGGTGGTAGAGGCTGAGCTAGGTGGTAGAGGCTGAGCTAGGTGGTAGAGGCTGAGCTAGAGGCTGAGCTAGGTGGTAGAGGCTGAGCTAGGTGGTAGAGGCTGAGCTAGGTGGTAGAGGCTGAGCTAGGTGGTAGAGGCTGAGCTAGGTGGTAGAGGCTGAGCTAGGTGGTAGAGGCTGAGCTAGGTGGTAGAGGCTGAGCTAGAGGCTGAGCTAGAGGCTGAGCTAGGTGGTAGAGGCTGAGCTAGGTGGTAGAGGCTGAGCTAGAGGCTGAGCTAGAGGCTGAGCTAGGTGGTAGAGGCTGAGCTAGGTGGTAGAGGCTGAGCTAGGTGGTAGAGGCTGAGCTAGGTGGTAGAGGCTGAGCTAGAGGCTGAGCTAGGTGGTAGAGGCTGAGCTAGGTGGTAGAGGCTGAGCTAGGTGGTAGAGGCTGAGCTAGAGGCTGAGCTAGAGGCTGAGCTAGGTGGTAGAGGCTGAGCTAGGTGGTAGAGGCTGAGCTAGGTGGTAGAGGCTGAGCTAGGTGGTAGAGGCTGAGCTAGGTGGTAGAGGCTGAGCTAGGTGGTAGAGGCTGAGCTAGGTGGTAGAGGCTGAGCTAGAGGCTGAGCTAGGTGGTAGAGGCTGAGCTAGGTGGTAGAGGCTGAGCTAGGTGGTAGAGGCTGATCTAGGTGGTAGAGGCTGAGCTAGAGGCTGAGCTAGGTGGTAGAGGCTGAGCTAGGTGGTAGAGGCTGAGCTAGGTGGTAGAGGCTGAGCTAGGTGGTAGAGGCTGAGCTAGGTGGTAGAGGCTGAGCTAGAGGCTGAGCTAGGTGGTAGAGGCTGAGCTAGGTGGTAGAGGCTGAGCTAGGTGGTAGAGGCTGAGCTAGGTGGTAGAGGCTGAGCTAGGTGGTAGAGGCTGAGCTAGGTGCTAGAGGCTGAGCTAGGTGGTAGAGGCTGAGCTAGGTGGTAGAGGCTGAGCTAGGTGGTAGAGGCTGAGCTAGGTGGTAGAGGCTGAGCTAGGTGGTAGAGGCTGAGCTAATTGGTAGAGGCTGAGCTAGGTGGTAGAGGCTGAGCTAGGTGGTAGAGGCTGAGCTAGGTGGTAGAGGCTGAGCTAGGTGGTAGAGGCTGAGCTAGGTGGTAGAGGCTGAGCTAGGTGGTAGAGGCTGAGCTAGGTGGTAGAGGCTGAGCTAGGTGGTAGAGGCTGAGCTAGGTGGTAGAGGCTGAGCTAGGTGGTAGAGGCTGAGCTAGGTGGTAGAGGCTGAGCTAGGTGGTAGAGGCTGAGCTAGGTGGTAGAGGCTGAGCTAGGTGGTAGAGGCTGAGCTAGGTGGTAGAGGCTGAGCTAGGTGGTAGAGGCTGAGCTAGGTGGTAGAGGCTGAGCTAGGTGGTAGAGGCTGAGCTAGGTGGTAGAGGCTGAGCTAGGTGGTAGAGGCTGAGCTAGAGGCTGAGCTAGGTGGTAGAGGCTGAGCTAGGTGGTAGAGGCTGAGCTAGGTGGTAGAGGCTGAGCTAGGTGGTAGAGGCTGAGCTAGAGGCTGAGCTAGAGGCTGAGCTAGGTGGTAGAGGCTGAGCTAGGTGGTAGAGGCTGAGCTAGGGGGTAGAGGCTGAGCTAGGTGGTAGAGGCTGAGCTAGGTGGTAGAGGCTGAGCTAGAGGCTGAGCTAGAGGCTGAGCTAGGTGGTAGAGGCTGAGCTAGGTGGTAGAGGCTGAGCTAGAGGCTGAGCTAGGTGGTAGAGGCTGAGCTAGGTGGTAGAGGCTGAGCTAGGTGGTAGAGGCTGAGCTAGGTGGTAGAGGCTGAGCTAGAGGCTGAGCTAGGTGGTAGAGGCTGAGCTAGGTGGTAGAGGCTGAGCTAGGTGGTAGAGGCTGAGCTAGGTGGTAGAGGCTGAGCTAGGTGGTAGAGGCTGAGCTAGGTGGTAGAGGCTGAGCTAGGTGGTAGAGGCTGAGCTAGGTGGTAGAGGCTGAGCTAGGTGGTAGAGGCTGAGCTAGGTGGTAGAGGCTGAGCTAGGTGGTAGAGGCTGAGCTAGGTGGTAGAGGCTGAGCTAGGTGGTAGAGGCTGAGCTAGGTGGTAGAGGCTGAGCTAGGTGGTAGAGGCTGAGCTAGGTGGTAGAGGCTGAGCTAGGTGGTAGAGGCTGAGCTAGGTGGTAGAGGCTGAGCTAGGTGGTAGAGGCTGAGCTAGGTGGTTGAGGCTGAGCTAGGTGCTAGAGGCTGAGCTAGGTGGTAGAGGCTGAGCTAGGTGGTAGAGGCTGAGCTAGGTGGTAGAGGCTGAGCTAGGTGGTAGAGGCTGAGCTAGGTGGTAGAGGCTGAGCTAGGTGGTAGAGGCTGAGCTAGGTGGTAGAGGCTGAGCTAGGTGGTAGAGGCTGAGCTAGAGGCTGAGCTAGGTGGTAGAGGCTGAGCTAGGTGGTAGAGGCTGAGCTAGGTGGTAGAGGCTGAGCTAGGTGGTAGAGGCTGAGCTAGAGGCTGAGCTAGAGGCTGAGCTAGGTGGTAGAGGCTGAGCTAGGTGGTAGAGGCTGAGCTAGGTGGTAGAGGCTGAGCTAGGTGGTAGAGGCTGAGCTAGGTGGTAGAGGCTGAGCTAGAGGCTGAGCTAGAGGCTGAGCTAGGTGGTAGAGGCTGAGCTAGGTGGTAGAGGCTGAGCTAGAGGCTGAGCTAGGTGGTAGAGGCTGAGCTAGAGGCTGAGCTAGGTGGTAGAGGCTGAGCTAGGTGGTAGAGGCTGAGCTAGAGGCTGAGCTAGGTGGTAGAGGCTGAGCTAGGTGGTAGAGGCTGAGCTAGGTGGTAGAGGCTGAGCTAGAGGCTGAGCTAGAGGCTGAGCTAGGTGGTAGAGGCTGAGCTAGGTGGTAGAGGCTGAGCTAGGTGGTAGAGGCTGAGCTAGGTGGTAGAGGCTGAGCTAGAGGCTGAGCTAGGTGGTAGAGGCTGAGCTAGAGGCTGAGCTAGAGGCTGAGCTAGAGGCTGAGCTAGAGGCTGAGCTAGGTGGTAGAGGCTGAGCTAGGTGGTAGAGGCTGTGCTAGGTGGTAGAGGCTGAGCTAGGTGGTAGAGGCTGAGCTAGAGGCTGAGCTAGGTGGTAGAGGCTGAGCTAGGTGGTAGAGGCTGAGCTAGGTGGTAGAGGCTGAGCTAGGTGGTAGAGGCTGAGCTAGAGGCTGAGCTAGGTGGTAGAGGCTGAGCTAGGTGGTAGAGGCTGAGCTAGAGGCTGAGCTAGGTGGTAGAGGCTGAGCTAGGTGGTAGAGGCTGAGCTAGGTGGTAGAGGCTGAGCTAGGTGGTAGAGGCTGAGCTAGGTGGTAGAGGCTGAGCTAGGTGGTAGAGACTGAGCTAGAGGCTGAGCTAGGTGGTAGAGGCTGAGCTAGGTGGTAGAGGCTGAGCTAGGTGGTAGAGGCTGAGCTAGGTGGTAGAGGCTGAGCTAGGTGGTAGAGACTGAGCTAGAGGCTGAGCTAGGTGGTAGAGGCTGAGCTAGGTGGTAGAGGCTGAGCTAGGTGGTAGAGACTGAGCTAGAGGCTGAGCTAGGTGGTAGAGGCTGAGCTAGGTGGTAGAGGCTGAGCTAGGTGGTAGAGGCTGAGCTAGGTGGTAGAGGCTGAGCTAGAGGCTGAGCTAGGTGGTAGAGGCAGATCTTCAGTTTTCCTGATTATGATGATGCAGGCTAGTTTGATGCATGCTAGTTTGATGCGTGCTACTTTGATGCGTGCTACTTTGATGCATGCTACTTTGATGCGTTTACTTTGATGCGTGCTACTTTGATGCATGCTACTTTGATGCGTGCTACTTTGATGCATGCTAGTTTGATGCATGCTAGTTTGATGCGTGCTACTTTGATGCATGCTTGTTTGATGCGTGCTAGTTTGATGCATGTTAGTTTGAAGTTTGATGCATGCTAGTTTGATGCGTGCTACTTTGATGCATGCTTGTTTGATGCGTGCTAGTTTGATGTGTGCTACTTTAATGCATGCTTGTTTGATGCGTGCTAGTTTGATGCATGTTAGTTTGAACTTTGATGCATGCTAGTTTGATGCGTGCTACTTCGATGCATGCTTGTTTGATGCGTGCTAGTTTGATGGATGTTAGTTTGAAGTTTGATGCATGCTAGTTTGATGCGTGCTACTTTGATGCATGCTTGTTTGATGCGTGCTAGTTTGATGCATGTTAGTTTGAAGTTTGATGTGTGCTAGTTTGATGAAAATAAAAACTTACGGTACAAGCAGGCCTCCAAGCATGTAATGATTTAATTCTTGAGGTGACAGGTTGATGAGGCGAGAAAATGAGAAACAACGGAATCCTTTGTTGCCTGAAAACATGAGAGGATGGTGGATGGTGGAACAGATCACAGTGGATGTGAGAAACATGAGAGGATGGTGGAACAGATCACAGTGGATGTGAGAAACATGAGGGGATGGTGGAACAGATCACAGTGGATGTGAGAAACATGAGAGGATGGTAGATGGTGGAACAGATCACAGTGGATGTGAGAAACATGAGAGGATGGTGGAACAGATCACAGTGGATGTGAGAAACATGAGAGGATGGTGGAACAGATCACAGTGGATGTGAGAAACATGAGAGGATGGTGGAACAGATCACAGTGGATGTGAGAAACATGAGAGGATGGCGGATGGTGGAACAGATCACAGTGGATGTGAGAAACATGAGAGGATGGTGGAACAGATCACAGTGGATGTGAGAAACATGAGAGGATGGCGGATGGTGGAACAGATCACAGTGGATGTGAGAAACATGAGAGGATGGTGGAACAGATCACAGTGGATGTGAGAAACATGAGAGGATGGCGGATGGTGGAACAGATCACAGTGGATGTGAGAAACATGAGGGGATGGTGGAACAGATCACAGTGGATGTGAGAAACATGAGAGGATGGTGGAACAGATCACAGTGGATGTGAGAAACATGAGAGGATGGCAGATGGTGGAACAGATCACAGTGGATGTGAGAAACATGAGAGGATGGTGGAACAGATCACAGTGGATGTGAGAAACATGAGAGGATGGTGGAACAGATCACAGTGGATGTGAGAAACATGAGAGGATGGCGGATGGTGGAACAGATCACAGTGGATGTGAGAAACATGAGAGGATGGTGGAACAGATCACAGTGGATGTGAGAAACATGAGAGGATGGCGGATGGTGGAACAGATCACAGTGGATGTGAGAAACATGAGAGGATGGTGGAACAGATCACAGTGGATGTGAGAAACATGAGAGGATGGCGGATGGTGGAACAGATCACAGTGGATGTGAGAAACATGAGGGGATGGTGGAACAGATCACAGTGGATGTGAGAAACAAGAGAGGATGGCGGATGGTGGAACAGATCACAGTGGATGTGAGAAACATGAGAGGATGGCAGATGGTGGAACAGATCACAGTGGATGTGAGAAACATGAGAGGATGGCGGATGGTGGAACAGATCACAGTGGATGTGAGAAACAAGAGAGGATGGTGGAACAGATCACAGTGGATGTGAGAAACAAGAGAGGATGGTGGAACAGATCACAGTGGATGTGAGAAACATGAGAGGATGGTGGATGGTGGAACAGATCAGTGGATGTGAGAAACAAGAGAGGATGGTGGAACATATCACAGTGGATGTGAGAAACAAGAGAGGATGGTGGAACAGATCACAGTGGATGTGAGAAACATGAGAGGATGGTGGAACAGATCACAGTGGATGTGAGAAACATGAGAGGATGGCAGATGGTGGAACAGATCACAGTGGATGTGAGAAACTTTAGAGGATGGCAGATGGTGGAACAGATCACAGTGGATGTGAGAAACATGAGAGGATGGCAGATGGTGGAACAGATCACAGTGGATGTGAGAAACATGAGAGGATGGTGGAACAGATCACAGTGGATGTGAGAAACATAAGAGGATGGCGGATGGTGGAACAGATCACAGTGGATGTGAGAAACATGAGAGGATGGCAGATGGTGGAACAGATCACAGTGGATGTGAGAAACATGAGAGGATGGTGGAACAGATCACAGTGGATGTGAGAAACATGAGAGGATGGCAGATGGTGGAACAGATCACAGTGGATGTGAGAAACATGAGAGGATGGCGGATGGTGGAACAGATCACAGTGGATGTGAGAAACATAAGAGGATGGTGGAACAGATCACAGTGGATGTGAGAAACATGAGAGGATGGTGGAACAGATCACAGTGGATGTGAGAAACAAGAGAGGATGGCGGATGGTGGAACAGATCGGTGGATGTGAGAAACATGAGAGGATGGCGGATGGTGGAACAGATCACAGTGGATGTGAGAAACATGAGAGGATGGCGGATGGTGGAACAGATCACAGTGGATGTGAGAAACATGAGAGGATGGTAGAACAGATCACAGTGGATGTGAGAAACATGAGAGGATGGCGGATGGTGGAACAGATCACAGTGGATGTGAGAAACATGAGAGGATGGCGGATGGTGGAACAGATCACAGTGGATGTGAGAAACATGAGGGGATGGTGGAACAGATCACAGTGGATGTGAGAAACATGAGAGGATGGTGGAACAGATCACAGTGGATGTGAGAAACAAGAGAGGATGGCGGATGGTGGAACAGATCACAGTGGATGTGAGAAACATGAGAGGATGGTGGAACAGATCACAGTGGATGTGAGAAACATGAGAGGATGGTGGAAGAGATCACAGTGGATGTGAGAAACATGAGAGGATGGTGGAACAGATCACAGTGGATGTGAGAAACATGAGAGGATGGTGGAACAGATCACAGTGGATGTGAGAAACATGAGAGGATGGTGGAACAGATCACAGTGGATGTGAGAAACAAGAGAGGATGGTGGAACAGATCACAGTGGATGTGAGAAACAAGAGAGGATGGCGGATGGTGGAACAGATCGGTGGATGTGAGAAACATGAGAGGATGGCAGATGGTGGAACAGATCACAGTGGATGTGAGAAACAAGAGAGGATGGTGGAACAGATCACAGTGGATGTGAGAAACATGAGAGGATGGCGGATGGTGGAACAGATCACAGTGGATGTGAGAAACATGAGAGGATGGCGGATGGTGGAACAGATCACAGTGGATGTGAGAAACATGAGAGGATGGTGGAACAGATCACAGTGGATGTGAGAAACATGAGAGGATGGTGGAACAGATCACAGTGGATGTGAGAAACATGAGAGGATGGTGGAACAGATCACAGTGGATGTGAGAAACATGAGAGGATGGTGGAACAGATCACAGTGGATGTGAGAAACATGAGAGGATGGCGGATGGTGGAACAGATCACAGTGGATGTGCGAAACAAGAGAGGATGGTGGAACAGATCACAGTGGATGTGAGAAACATGAGAGGATGGTGGAACAGATCACAGTGGATGTGAGAAACAAGAGAGGATGGTGGAACAGATCACAGTGGATGTGAGAAACATGAGAGGATGGCGGATGGTGGAACAGATCACAGTGGATGTGAGAAACATGAGAGGATGGTGGAACAGATCACAGTGGATGTGAGAAACATGAGAGGATGGTGGAACAGATCACAGTGGATGTGAGAAACATGAGAGGATGGTGGAACAGATCACAGTGGATGTGAGAAACATGAGGGGATGGTGGAACAGATCACAGTGGATGTGAGAAACATGAGGGGATGGTGGATGGTGGAACAGATCACAGTGGATGTGAGAAACATGAGAGGATGGTGGAACAGATCACAGTGGATGTGAGAAACATGAGAGGATGGTGGAACAGATCACAGTGGATGTGAGAAACATGAGAGGATGGTGGAACAGATCACAGTGGATGTGAGAAACATGAGGGGATGGTGGAACAGATCACAGTGGATGTGAGAAACATGAGGGGATGGTGGATGGTGGAACAGATCACAGTGGATGTGAGAAACATGAGAGGATGGTGGAACAGATCACAGTGGATGTGAGAAACATGAGAGGATGGTGGAACAGATCACAGTGGATGTGAGAAACATGAGAGGATGGTGGAACAGATCACAGTGGATGTGAGAAACATGAGGGGATGGTGGAACAGATCACAGTGGATGTGAGAAACATGAGGGGATGGTGGATGGTGGAACAGATCACAGTGGATGTGAGAAACATGAGAGGATGGTGGAACAGATCACAGTGGATGTGAGAAACATGAGAGGATGGCGGATGGTGGAACAGATCACAGTGGATGTGAGAAACATGAGAGGATGGTGGAACAGATCACAGTGGATGTGAGAAACATGAGAGGATGGCGGATGGTGGAACAGATCACAGTGGATGTGAGGAACATGAGAGGATGGTGGAACAGATCACAGTGGATGTGAGGAACATGAGAGGATGGCAGATGGTGGAACAGATCACAGTGGATGTGAGAAACATGAGGGGATGGTGGAACAGATCACAGTGGATGTGAGAAACATGAGAGGATGGCAGATGGTGGAACAGATCACAGTGGATGTGAGAAACATGAGAGGATGGCGGATGGTGGAACAGATCACAGTGGATGTGAGAAACATGAGAGGATGGCGGATGGTGGAACAGATCACAGTGGATGTGAGAAACATGAGAGGATGGTGGAACAGATCACAGTGGATGTGAGAAACATGAGAGGATGGCGGATGGTGGAACAGATCACAGTGGATGTGAGAAACATGAGGGGATGGTGGAACAGATCACAGTGGATGTGAGAAACAAGAGAGGATGGCGGATGGTGGAACAGATCACAGTGGATGTGAGAAACATGAGAGGATGGCAGATGGTGGAACAGATCACAGTGGATGTGAGAAACATGAGAGGATGGCGGATGGTGGAACAGATCACAGTGGATGTGAGAAACAAGAGAGGATGGTGGAACAGATCACAGTGGATGTGAGAAACAAGAGAGGATGGTGGAACAGATCACAGTGGATGTGAGAAACATGAGAGGATGGTGGATGGTGGAACAGATCAGTGGATGTGAGAAACAAGAGAGGATGGTGAAACAGATCACAGTGGATGTGAGAAACAAGAGAGGATGGTGGAACAGATCACAGTGGATGTGAGAAACATGAGAGGATGGCGGATGGTGGAACAGATCACAGTGGATGTGAGAAACATGAGAGGATGGCGGATGGTGGAACAGATCACAGTGGATGTGAGAAACATGAGAGGATGGCGGATGGTGGAACAGATCACAGTGGATGTGAGAAACATAAGAGGATGGTGGAACAGATCACAGTGGATGTGAGAAACAAGAGAGGATGGCAGATGGTGGAACAGATCGGTGGATGTGAGAAACATGAGAGGATGGTGGATGG